AGCCACATCAGTAATTTGAAGCCACCAATGGATTGGGATAGACCAGTAATTTAACAAGCCTGTATTTTTTTTCAAAAAGGTGTTGGCTACAAACTTATTGATGACTCATTAGTGTGATGAAGGAAATAAAATTACCATCTTTGAAAGTTGGACATTAAAATAGAAACAGATTTTAGTCAGCTTGGCAAAGGCTTTGTTTAAAAGTCATTCTGGTACAGTGACCCTAAATACATCATTGTTTATAAAGCATGTGACTGCAATCAAGTGTTTAGGAGGATCACTGTGGATAAAATGCTAATACCGATAAGTTAATAACAGACAGATTAAACAGAACAGTTTTATTTTGACTTCCAAGTAGTAGAATCAATACGTTCAGAAGTAAGAGTATAGCTCAGTTCAGAGGAACAAGTAACCTCAGCAAAAATGCTTTCCATGATGTGGAGTTTCTAAGCCGGGAGAGCTTGTAAAGAAGTCTTCAAATTGTTAGAACCGATAGGCCATCGGAATTGGGAAAACTTCATGACTCCAAACTTGGAACAGAATCAAAAACTTGATTCTGTAATCCACAGGAAAAAAGACTGGAAGGTATCAATTAAGTCAAAAATAGAGCTGAAATAATACAATAAGTTCTCTAGACTCAAGTCTCTGTAATGAAAAGTGTTGGGAAGCAGATTAAAATGTTATTTTGCTATTTATATTAAGATCTTTTTAAACAGTTTTCCATACTATGTCACTTAGAATCACAATGTCATAGAATTGTACAGCACTAAAACAGACCCTTTGGTCCAACTTATCCGTGCCGAACTAATATCCTAAATTAATCTAGTCCCATTTGCCAGAATTTGGACTATATCCCTTTAAACCCTTCCTATTCCAAAAGCAGCCCAACCAATGTCCTACACAGCCACAACATAATCTCCCAACTCCTATACTCAATTCACTGACCAATAAAGATAAGCATACCAAATGCCTTCTTCACTGCCTTTTCCTCTCCCCAAACCTTTGGCCCTTCATAGGAAGGGTTTAGAGGCAGCACTGATGCAGTCATCAATATAGCAGAGAAAGGGGTAAGGGATGGTACCGGTGTAATTGCGGAAGACGGATAGTTCCACAAATCATACAACGAAGCAGGCATAACTTGGGCCCATGCAGGTGCCCATCCCAACCTCCAAACCCAACACGTCATCCTCCCACATTTCTGCCTCGTGCTCCCACGAGGAGCTCAAACAATTTATCAACTTCACTAACACTTTCCACCCCATCCTCAAATTCACCTGGACCATTTCTGACACCTCCCTCCTCTTCCTGGAACTCTCCATCTCCATCTCCAGAAACCGGCTCACCACTGACATCCATTTCAAACCCACTGACTCCCACAACTACCTGAACTATACTTCCTCTCACCCACCCTCCTGCAAAAATGTTATCCCATACTCTCAATTCCACCACCTCTGCCACACCTGCTCCCAGGATGAGGCGTTTAACTCCAGGACATCCCAGATATTCTCCTACTTTAGAGACCATAGTTTCCCCTCCTCTGTAATTAAGGATGCCCTCAACTGCATCTCCTCCATTTCCCACACTTCTGCCCTCAAACCCCCTCCCCTCAATAACAATAGGGATTCAGTCCCCATTGTCCTCACATACCTCCAAATACACACATCATTCTCGAACATTTCTGCCAGCTGAAATCAGACCCCACCACCAGAAAGATATTTCCTTCTCAACTCCCGTCCGCCTTCTGCAGGGACCATTCACTCCGCGACTCCCTCGACAGCTCAACACTCCCCACCAAACCCGGTACCTTTCCCTGCAACTGCAAGAGGTGCAACAACCCTACACCTCCCCTCTCACCTCCTGTCCAAGGCCCCAAACAATCCTTCCAGATCCAGCTGAGATTCACCTGCTCTTCATCCAACCTGATCTATTGTATCCGTTGGTCCCGATGTGGTCTCCTCCATATTGGGAAGACTAAATGTGGACTCAGGGATCGGTTCACGGAGCATCTGTGCTCCGCACACATCAACCAACCCGACCTTCCGGTTACCGTCCATTTTAAAACCCCCTCCCACTCCCCTGGTGACATGTCCATCCTTGGCCTCTTCCACTGTCAGAGTGAAGCCAAACATAAAGTAGAGGAACAACACCTGAACAACACCTAAGGGCCTGAATATTGACTTCACCAGCTTCAAAATCCTTCCACCCTCAGCCTAATCCCATGTCCAGCCCTCCCCCTCATCCTGACCTGACCTAACCTGTCCATCTTCCTACTCACCTATCTGCTCCACCCTTCCCACTGACCAAACACAATAACCCCCTACCTGCTTCCACTATCACCATCCCACCCAACCTTCCCCCAGAACCACCCCCTCCCTCTATTTACTTCTGGGCTCCCCTCCCCCTCCCCAATCCTGACGAAGGGTTTCGGCCCTAAACGTTGACTTTCATGCTCCTCTGATGCTGTCTATCCTGAAAACACTCCATGATTGTTTTTTTTTTCTTCATGACTATTTTTGCCAATTTGATTGTCCAAATCGATGTGAAGATTAAAGTCACCATGATTCCTGTACAATCTTTTTGTCTTAACTTGTCCTCACTATCGCTTGATTTAATGTCTGTTGTACAGAACAGCTGTTGTTGAGGGGCGCTATGATCTCTTCCCCCAGTGTCTCCTTCTCCTTGTTATTTCTTACCTCTGCCCACATGAATTCTGCATTTTTTGATCCAAGATCATTTCTTGCTATTGTACTATTCCATCTTGGACTGATAAAGTGACCGCACCACCCGTCCCTTCTGAAATGAAAACTGATTAGAACTGCGGATGCTGTAAATCAGAAACACAAACAGAAATTGCTGGAAAAGCACAGCGGGTCCGGCAGCATCTGTGGTGAGAAATCAGAGTTTGTGTGGATGTATGGACATGTGGGCGTGTGTGTGTGTGTGTGTGGATATGTGGGGGTGTGTGTGTGTGTGTGTGTGTGTTCTCATTTCTCTCCATAGACTCTGCCAGGCCTGCTGCGTTTTTCCAGCAATTTCTGTTTTGGACCCTTCTCTTCCCATCTGTCCTTGTGAAAGTCACACGCTTAGTTCCTGGTTTGATTTCCTGGTAATCATATCTCCATAATGGCTACAAAATCAGATCTATTAACCTATATTTGTGCCACTAATTGATGTATTACATTACACGGATTTTGGTAAAGAGCCACGAATTTTGTCTTTTTAACCCCTTCTATCCCCATTAACGCTATTTGCTGCTTTTTTTTTGAATGCTTGAACAATCTGAAGCAGTATCCAGGAAAGCAGTATTGTACCAAAGGATATGGGTAGCCTGTAATGACATGCTTTGCTAGCATCAGCAGGCAGATCCACACACTGAGTGAATAAAAAACAGTCTGGATAAAGACCGTTAAGCCAGGTAATCAACTGTGGTTAAATGAGGACAGCATCGTTTTTATTCATTCACAGGAGGTGGGCATTGCTGGCTAGACCAGCATTTATTGCCCATCCCTAATTACCCAGAGGGTAGTTAAGTATCAAACAGATTGTAGGGGGCTCTGGAGTCACAGACTGAAGAAGGATGGCAGTTTCCTTCCCTAGAGGACGTTAGTGAACCAGATGGATGAACACAGCAGGCCAAGCAGTATCAGATTAGCAGGATCTCCAGCATCTGCAGTTCCTACTATCAGTGAACCAGATGGGTTTTTTTCCCAACAATGGATTCACAGTCATCGTTAGATCCTTAATTCTAGATATTTATCAAATTCAAATTCTACCAGCTGCCGTGACAGGATTCGAACGTGGATCGCCAGAACATTAAAAACCAAAAGAAATGCGGATGCTGTAAATCAGGAACAAAAACAAAGTTGCTGGAAAAGCTCAGCAGGTCTGGCAGCATCTGTGAAGGAGAAAGCAGAGTTAACGTTTCGGGTCTGGTGACCCTTCCTCAGAACCGGACCCGAAACTTTAACTCTGTTTTCTCCTCCACAGATGCTGCCAGACCTGCTGAGCTTTTCCAGCAACTTTGTTTTTGTCACCAGAACATTACCCGGATTAATAGTCCCGCGATTTATCCAGGCTCTGGGCCATTACCTCCCCAACAGAGGTTTGAAGGTGTGTAATGACGTGTGTTGTTTAATTAAAAAACGGGGTTTCTGGGAGACACCCATTCAAGATCCATTTCCCCGCCAAATCTAGTACGACATCAGCAAATTGGGGAGTGTTTAATGCAGTCTTCAACATTAACTCTTTCAGAACCAATGTCTTGCACTGTATTTACACAAAGCTTGAAAAGAACTTCGCGGCTTCTTTTTGAAAACACGAAAGTTACTGGTTCAATAGAATCGCTTCTGTCATTTCCTTTGTGGGTTCAGCTCTGGGAGTGGGAGTGGGGTTTTGGGGGAGAGGGGTGTATGGTGGAAAATGACAGAAACGGACCCTCCTGGTTTAACCAGTTTTTCAGCTAGTGCCGCTCCCTTCTCCTCTGTCCGATTCGGCTGATCACTGCACCTTCAGGGATCAACTCTACTCGTTTTAAATTGCTGACCAGTGAATCCCCTCACTATCACTCACATATTTCACTGTTTATGTCTTGTAAACCACTGACAGGTCACGCCTGAGAAAAAGGGTTAGGGTTGTCGATCTTTTATCATCAAGGCATCAATTTATATTACACTACATACTGCTCTCTGGTAAAAGAAAATATGGTCAGGTGGAACTGAGTAAATGCTCTTTCCACTTTGATAAGAATACTCTAAGCCTGTCACAATCCCACAGTCCCAGGTACAGACAGTGTGACCCAGCTTGGGTAAATGCCGAATGTTTAATCCCGGAAGGACATTTATTGAGAAAAACAATTTCACTTAAATCCAAGGCTGCTTGTAATTATTAAGTTGCTCGAACCACATTGTGCTGATCCGGAGAAATGTGGAAAAGGCTGGAAGAGGAAGGAGGGATCAGAACAATCTTCCAAAGGAAGGATTTTAAACATCATCATCACCTACCCTGCTGAAACGTATCCGTAATCCAGAGATCTAGGACCTGTACGTAAAGATGTCCGAGCCGAGTTTTATGTTCGTTTTCAGACCCCGGAAGTATTGGGAATTAGAGTGATGATGCAAAGATCAACATCCAACCGAACCAACACATCATTGCCATGAGAAAACAGAATTTAGATGGAAAACAGTGTGATCAACTTTTAGGAATTTCTGCCAATGCAATGCTATTGACAATTTGCAAATCCATATGATCAGACATCATGTGGTCACGAAACTTGCAGTCTCACTCTTGAAATTATAAACTACGGAAATCGAGCTTCGTAGGTTTGGGAATATATAACCAGAGCGGCTTCTACCGAGAGAGGGAAAGATATTTGAAGATCGTTCTTATCAGTGTTCTCTCTGGCTGCGTGTGCGTGTGTGGGTTAGTCGTTTATTTGTGTTTTTTGTCTTTGTGCGATGCGCGCTTGTGTGTTTTTGTCTGTACGTATGTCTTTATGCCTGTGTTTGTGTGGCTGTCTTTTTGTCTGTGTCTCTGCTCGGTCTGTGTTTGTGTGTCTTTTTGTCTGTGTCTGTGTCCACATTTTTGGCTGTGTCTGTGTGAGTGCACACCTATCTTTCTCAGCATACGTCTGTGATATGATTCCTGCTTCTGCCATAGGACTGTGAATGAAAATTGCGAATAAAATAAAGAAAACACTTTACAACATGGTTTTTGGAACTTCTACAGAAATCGTGCCAAATGAAGAAAATAACAACATGTACAAACGGTGGTTAATTTACTCAGAGGCAATACAGTGTGGAGCTGGAGGAACACAGCAGGTCAGGCAGCATTAGAGGAGCAGGAAAATTGACGTTTGGGTTCGGGGCCTCCAGTACTGAAGAAGGGTCCCCACCCGAAACGTCAACTTTCCTGCTCCTCTGATGCTGCCTGGCCTGCTGTGTTCATCCAGCTCTACACTGTGTTATTTCTGACTCCAGCATCTGTAGTTCTTGCTATCTCCTAGTTGTTAATTTACTCAGGAATGTATTCAGTTAGGTAGGACCTGGTTAGTAGGGCAATATCTTGAGCAACATGTCCAATAAAAAAATTGCATCGTGGCAGAAAATGGTGGAAATACTAAAGGGCGGGTTTAATAATATCTGTGGGGGAATAGGGAGGGTTAACGTGTTAGTTCTCAGAATGAAAATAATTCAGGTTTGAATTATGTGAAATGGGGAAGGCTGAACAAAGGAGGAAAGACCGATGGTATTCAACCATCCCCAGCTGCTACATTGCACCAACTCCTTACTTTAAAATTGAAAAGGAGAATGCTTCATTTGCTGCACAATCTTCAGTTCCATTGACAACTCCTCAGATAATGAAGCTGTCCCTGTCCTCAAACAGCAAGACCCTGGCAATATTGGGATTTGGATTGATGAGGAGGAGGTGACATTGTCACCAAACAAGTGTCATGTAATGACATATTCAAAGCTTCCAGAAGATTGACTTCTGATTTTGAATCCCTTCCTAATTTGATTGAAATGTTTCTTTTTGCTCAAAGTCATTGATGCTGGCCCCACAAAAAGAAATTATCGATGTCCTTCATAAAGATGCCTGTAAGTTTTCCATTATAATGCCAATGGAACAACATAGGGTCCGCCTCCAATTGTGAACACTCCTCCTACTCATAATTCATTCATACTCAGGCATTTGTTTTTTCCCTTTTTTATCGTCACTGCTGCTGTTTTTCACCTGTCATCCAATCCTTGTCTCATTTTCATTCTGGTATTTAAAGGCATAGACTTGTACAACATGGAAACAGATCCCTCAGTCCAACTCATCCATGCTGACCAGATATTCTCAATGAATCTAGTACCATTTTCCAGCATTTGGCCAAAATCCCTCTAAACCCTTCCTTGTCATATACCCATCCAAATACCTTTGTACAAACCTCCACCACTTCCTATTGCAGCTCATTTTATACACGCACCACCCTCTGTATGAAGAAGTTGCCCTTAAATCCATTTTAAATGTTTCCCCTCTCACCTTAACGCTATGCCCTCTAGTTTTGGACTCCACTACCCTGGGGGGAAAGATCTTGGCTATTCACCCTATCTATGCCCCTCATGATTTAAAAAAAACTATAAAGTCACACCTCAGTCTCTGACACTCCAGGAAAAATAGCCCCAGCCTATTCAGCCTATCCCTGTAGCTCAAAACCTCCAACCCTAGCAACATCCTTGTAAGTCTTTTCTGAACCCTTTCAAGTTTCAAAACATCATTCCTAAGAGTAGGGAGACCAGAACTGAACACAGTACTCCAAAAGTGGCCTCAATAATGTCCTGTACAGCCTCAACATGGCCTCCCAACTCCTGTACTCAATGCATTGACTAATAAAGGCAAGCATACCAAATACCTTCTTCACTATGGAGACAGTAAGTATTACAGATGCTGGAATATCCTGTCTACCTGTGACTCAACTTTCAAGAAGCTATGAACCTGCACTCTAAGGTCTCTTTGTTCAGCAACACTCCCCAGGACCTTCCCATTAAGTGTATAAGTCCTGCCCTGATTTGCCTTCCCAAAATGCAGTATCTCACATTTATCTAAATTAAACTCCATCTGTCAGCCCTCAGCCCACCAGCCCATCTGATCAAGGTCCTCACCTGGTCTGGCCTACATGTGACTCCAGACCCACAACAATGTCGTTGATTCCGAACTCTGAAATGGCCGAGCAAACCACTCAGTTGTATCATTCATTAGAAAGCCTTGTTAAAGGAATAAATCTGGTCGGCTATCAAGCATCAACCAAGGCACCACAAATGGTAATGGCAGACACAGCCTTATGACCTTGCAGAGCCCTCCTCACTAATATCTGGGGGCTAATGCCAAAACTGGGGGAACTGTCTCAAAGATGAGTCAAGTAACAGCCTGATATAATTATACTCACAGAATTATACCTTACAGTCACTGACCCAGACACCACCATCACCATCCCTGGACATGTCCTATCTCACCAGCAGGACAGACCGAGCAGAGGTGGAGGCACAGGGTATACAGTCAGGAGGGAGTCGCCCTGGGAGTCCTCAACATTGACTCCTGATCCCATGATGTCTCGGGGCATCAGGTTAAACATGGGCAAGGAAACCTCTTACTGATTACCACATACTGTCCTCCTTCAGCTGATGTATCAGTACTCCTCAATGTTGAACAACACCGACAGGAAGCATTGACAATGGGAAGACTGCAAATTGTACTCTGGGTATGGGATTTCAATGTCTACCACCAAGAGTGGATCAGCAGCAGTACTACAGATTGAGCTGGTTGGCTCCTACAGGATGTAGCTGCTAGACTGGGTCTGCAGCAAGTGGTGAGGGAACCAACAAGCAGGAAGAACATACTTGACTTTATCCTTACCAATCTGCCAGCTGCAGTTGCATCTGTCCATGACAGTATCAGAAAGGGTGAGCATCGCACAGTCTCCTTGGAGATAAAGACCTTCACATTGAGGATACTCTCTATCATGTTGTGTCTACTATCACCGTGCTAAATGGGATATATTTCAAATGGGCCTAGCAACTCAAGACTGGACTGTGGTACTCCAGTACAGTCCACAACATCATGGCCTGGCACATCCACCACTCAGCCATTACCATCAAGCTAAGAGATCAATGTTGGTTCAAATAAGAATGCTGGAATTAGATAGATAAATTGATGGCGCAAATCCAAGTAAATACATATGATCTTATAGCCAAAATGGAAACATCGGGGATCTGAACCGGAGACTTAAAATTCAGGGATTTTTGAACTTTAAGAGAAACAGGAAGCAGTTAATCAGGAAGGCTAATGAAATGTCAGCTCTTATTTCAAGGGGGGACGGGGTATAAGAGTCGGGAAGTCTTGCAACTGTACAATGGGCTGCTGAGACCACATTCTCCCCGTGTCTGCGTGGGTTTCCTCCGGGTGCTCTGGTTTCCTCCCACAGTCCAAAGATGTGCAGGCTAGGTGGATTGGCCATGCTACACAGTGTTGAGGGATGTGTAGATTAGGTGTGTTATAGGGGAATGGGTCTGGGTGGGATGTTCTGTGGGTCGGTATGGACTTGTTGGGCTGAATGGCCTGTTTCCACACCGTAGGGATTCTATGATCTATGATGATGATGATCAGTTGCACAAGAATAGAATCAAACCTGGGTCCCTGGTACTGTGAGACAGCACTGCTAGCCACTGAGCCACCATGTCACCCTAGGGTAAACTAAATTAGAAAAATAAAGAAATAATAAAGACTGACATTCCAGGCCACCAGGAGACGACCATGCCAGGCCAGGAGGCCGCCTTGCCGGGCTTTGAGTGAGAGCCATGCGTCTGGGAGAAAGAGAGAGGAATGTGAATTTAGGGAGGGGGTGTAGGAGGAGGGGAGATGGACACGTGAGTCTTGTAGAGGGATAGGTGGACTCTGTGCTCCGAGCCTTGGGGGAGGGAGATGGTATGGTGGTGGTGGCATTGCCGGGGATGGGTGGGCGGAGGAGGGATTAAGGGATTCTAGCCTGAGACTCTGGGGAGAGTGGGTTTAGGGACACAGACCCAGTGCAATGTGTTTCCACCATGCTGAAGGAACTAACGTGCCTTATGGATGGTCCCAACTGTCAACATTACAGGAAGATGCCTTGGTGGAGAATTGAAAGGTTGGAACGAACTGCAAGATTGTGGCTCTGAGACATTCATTGGGCAGTTGAGCTTAATTTTAAAGATTCGGAACACATTTTACCCGTTTTCTCATTTGCCCCCTTAGGTGTAAATCTTGCCCCCTGGGCTATGGTGACTCCTGGCAACAGCCTGTTCAGTTGCTCGTTGCTGTGGATTGTGGGCTGCAGGGAGTTGGGGTGAGGTGGGTCTTCTGGTTGTCCTGGATCATGCTGCTCCCCCCAGCTTCAGGATGTCAGGAATCAGGACCACCCAGAGCAGTGGCCAAGTATACAGAGGTATTGAGATGGGAGTTCAGGATGTTTACCCAGTGAACTTGAAGGGTCAAATCAGGACGCTGTGCAGTTTAGCACTGGTGGTGTCACCATTCTCTTCTCCTTCTAGATGGTAGATG